TACAAACTTTAATATTATCAATGCACATAAAAACTGAATTACCACCCAAAATTGATAAATAACGCAAAAGTTTCTTATTAGAAGTAATTTAATTTTGAATTTAACATAAAATTCAGGACTGCAAATTATAATTACTACAAATTTCTTAGGTAATTGTTATAGAAATTGAGCACACAATTGTGAAATTTTGGTACTCAAAAACGGTCCCAATTTTTTTTAATTCCGACAAAACTGTACTTAAAAGTTATAATGTCTTAAAGTTTACTTATGTAAAATGTTCCGGGAAGTCGATTAGCGTTAAAAAAAACATTAGTTTTCAAGTTATTATTTTGAATACTTTTGATTTCATCAACAATTTTCTCGAACTATTTAACATATGACAGTAAATTGCAAATTGCTGCAGAACTGTGTTTCATAAATGCAATGTTTTGACGTAGAAATATGTAAAATGTTAAAATTAAGACTTTATCAGCAATTTTCTCGATAACTATTAATAGTAAAACACTCATCTTTTTACATGTAATAGAAAATTAAAAGTATTTTCCCATGGTACCTATGGACTGTAAATTATAATTTGTCTTGAAGGATTTATGAAAAATCATAAAAATACCTACCTAAATATGTATTTTTATACCTATACAGGGTGTTAAGACTAAAAAATTTGACAAAAATTTGCGAAAATCTACGAAATATTGACTGAAAACCCAAATACTCAACGACTGTTTATTCAAGATAAAAAATAAAACAGATCAGGATCGTTTATCTATTTTGTCAAAGAAAAAACTTGAAAAGTCTGACTCAAACGTTAGTAATTATTTATCTTCAAGTTTAAAGTGTGACAAACCCGTTTTGTTTACTTTTTCTTTCCTCACAAAATAATTGTATTATCTCGAAATTTGTAAGCCATGTGGGCGTGCTGCTAATCAATCAGCTCCCACATGTTGCTCCCTCACGTAAGCCCTCAAGGCCTCCACATGCTATAAATTTGAAAAAATAAAAACCGCTGCGATAATCCTCAAATAAACCGACACCAAAACCGAAAAGAAATCAATATTTTGCAAATAACGGCTAAACCATTACTGTGTCAATATTATTCCCCGTTAAACTCTTAATCCTCATTGTCTTGGAGTGGAGGGCAGGTAGTCCAAGCAAACAGGTGTTCCGCCCTCAAAAAATGAATAATTCAGAGCAAGCTGCAGATTTCGCTCACAATTTGAAACAATACGGCACTTGGGGCTAACTACCTACCACCTGCTTTCGTCAACGAATTTTCCGCCGTTTCATCGAATAAGAGAAATTTCGCGGTGAAATATCAAAGCGGTATCAAAGAGGCCGCTATCACGATTATATGGTAGCAGTGATAACACACCTTTGTTTGTATTTGTTTAAGGGCGCGTGTGGTGCATCCCCGGACCGTTGCAATGAGAATTTTTCGGTGGGAAGGGTGATGGTGGTTGATAAGTGTCAAGCAGACACTGATAGGAGAGGTAACACATGGCTGTATGGGTCGTCTGGTGTCGAAAGTGGCCGCCGACGTGACTTGTCAATAAATTATCACCCGAAATGTTGACACTAACAGGGGCTACAAATTAAACCATTTTCATATTTTTAACGAATTTTAGGGGTCTAAGTCCTGAAATCA